ACTAGTAAGAGTGAGTAACATATTTAAAAGAGAAAACTTTGCTGGCTTGAAGGGATCTAGAAATTTATCTACCAATATTAAAATACATATAGCCATGAGGAAACATTTTTAATTAACATTCTCCTTTTGGATGGAGGAAAAGTTTAACTAACCTTAGGGAAGGTTGAGATATTTGCACGACATTAGGGTAAATTTTAGGACTAAATGCAAAATCCCTGGAGAAGATATGGGAAGAAATTACTTGAGGTTTCTTGTGAATTTTTTTGTTATGGTTTGATGATAAATACCATGCAAATATCCTCTGTCAGTGTGTTTTGGCAGTCCTTCCAAGGCGGCCAGGGAGTGAGGAGGATTATAGAAAGAACAAAAAATGAGGCTGATTTTATACTAGAAAAATACCAGGGGGATTCTGTAACTTCATAGTAAGTTCTCCACCTCATTCCTGTGTCCACTACACAGTATTATAAAATCTTTGTAAAAACAAAAAATACAAACTTCCAAATACAATCCAAATTTCATCTTTGCCAACAGGAGTAAGCAAAATGCACCCCCATCACTTGCTCCAGTACTGTGGTAATGTGGTTTTGGTTTTCAGAGTCTGGAACACTACACACTTTAAAGTAAAAAAAAAAAAATTCTGGGGTGACATAGTGTAACGTGAGGTGACAGTACAGTCCCTAAAAAATGCAGCATGGCCTCAGAACAAGCAGCTGGCTGCAGAGCTGCAGAATGCTCCATCTTGTCTACTTTCTGCTTCCTTCACTCTCCTCATAAATCTTTCTTTTCTGAATGGAAGACATCAGGCCCTTCATTCTGCATCTTATATTGTAGTCACTTAGTGGGGGGGAAGCCTTGATGCTCAGTTTGGAACAAAGTCTTAAAATCATAGGGAAGAGATTCACAGGCTTTCATTTTATCTCTTAGCCTCTTCTGAACAAATCAATGATTAGACTTGTTTCAAGTGCAGATAAGCAATTGGAAGAATAGCAGCAGGATCATATTGTAACAGCAGCTTGCTTGGGTACTGTAAGGCTTGGTGGTGTGGAAATGAAGAGCTGTGTCTAGGCAAAGGAAAACTGTAATGTAAAAACAAGGAGAAAGCTACACTGTTTTTCATGGTGGATATGCTGGCTCATTTAAGTTAGATGATAGATGATCAATAGCAGATCCACCTCACATAAATGAGGGAAAGTCCTAATGAAGGCAGTAGACTTAAATGATTTAAATGACATTTTCTTCATAAAACCCTTTTTTGGGGTATTCATTGAAGCCATGTCCAAATCCTGTGAGCACTGATGAATACCATGAAACACTTTGTCACATTACCTAAAGTTGAGCAAAGATCCAAATCCCTAGCTCAATCATTAGGCATCTTATTTTATGTTTTCTTTTGTTTTTAATGCCAAGAAATAGTGTTAAAGGCACATTATTTTCCACATTCATTCCATAAATATTTCTTGAGAAACTACTCATTTCTTGGCGATATACTCAGTGTTCAGGATCCATAGATGACCAAAGATGATCCTTAAAGAGAACATGTGATTTGAAGTCCTTTTGTCCCCACCTCGCTTCACATAGACATCTAGCATGACAAAATTTGATCTAGCAATCAAATTCCCTCTCCAAACACCAGAAGTGTATCTAGATGTAGTTTAGTTTGCCTACCCAGAAATATCAGAATTTTTCTCCCTTTTAAGCCCAAAGACTATTAATGCAAATCCAATTGAATTTGCATTTGATTACATTTCTGATGGAAACATTCATATGCAAATGAAAATTCATGCAAAGATAGCCAGATAATTCAAATAGTTGCTGAAATATCAAGATAAAATTAGGATATTAAATGTACATCCATCCACGTTTACTGGGTTACACTAAGGTCATCAAGTGGGACAACAGTCTGAAAAACCTCAAATAATTTTTTTAAATATTCAAATATGTATGTGTTCAGATGGAGCTGTAACATTTCTTTGAATTGTCATAGTATAGAAAAAGTTATCAGCCATGGATAAAGTTAGTCACATTGTTTAGAAACAGTCACTTTAACTGGATGGTGGTTGTGCATGCCTTAATCAGAGCACTCATGAGGCAGGTGGTCTCTGAGTTCAAGAACAGCCTGGTCTATAGAGTGAGTTCCTGGATAGCCAGGGCTACACAGAGAAACCTGTCATGAAAAACAAAACAAAACCAACCAAACAACAATAACAAAAAAAAAAACCCGTTCATTTAAAATTTTGCTCCATTGTCTTTCCTTACCAATAAAAGCAAGAAGTAACTCTTGGTAACACTATTTTAATGAGCCCCAAACTGGACAAATAGTTTTTGTAAACTGGCAGTTCCCACATACTCCCTAGGGAGTCAAGTTCAGTGACATTGTCATTATCTCCACTATCAATATCCTTTGAAAGTACCTATGGCCTTGTGAATGGAGCAGCAGAACCATGATCTTAACTTAGGGCTATTAAATCCAACTAAGAACAGATATAAGCAAAAGTTCAAGGTCAAATGTATTCAGCTACTGCCTTACATTCCAAATTCATTTTCAGGGGGAATACAAAACTTGGGATGAGATGGCTGTTCTTGTGAAACTTGGCAGAAGTTCAAACGACAAAAGGAAACAACTTGAGGTCACAGCATGCAGGATTGTTAGCACCTAGTTTGGTGGTCCACAAGATGTAATTCTCCTGATCCTTCTTCTGCTTGATCTTACATTTACCCATGATTTCAAGTCCTTTTAGAATTCTAGTGTTTTCTGCTTTGGCAAATATCACTAATCATTTATCAGATTGAAAATCCTAAAGATAAAGGAGAAATTTTAGCATCTCATTTGGGCAAGCTGGGTCTTTCCCCAAATCTTAGAGACCTTACTTTGTAAAGGCCACTTTTTTTTCATCTTTGCCACCACTTCCTTAATCTTTGTCTCTCGAGTGACTTTGGACAAGAGCACATCCCCAATCCCCCACCCAACCCTACCCTCAGTCAACTCCTTGAGCAGAACTTGCCCTTCTTTTTCTCCTATTCTTGTAATAATATGGCCGAGTCATAATTACAAAGTACAAGTGTCATCATTCCATACAACTGTCCTCCTTGGTTCGTATCCTTCAACAGCTTCTTCTTGCTCCTAGAATAAAAATGAAAGTCCTTAGCAGGTTGTTTCTGCTGCCTCTGCTCCCCAACATCCTATAGTTTTTGTTTCACAGTGCACTCCAACTTAGATACTGAGATGTCCATGCTCCTTCCTGTCACCTCTACACACGCCACTACTCCAGCTGAAAGAGTAAATTAATTTCAAGCTTCCCCATTAAAGCTTTATCAATTTCTTAGACCCAACGGATTCCTGTGTTACTTTTGTTCATACCACCATACCACTTTTGGTCTTAATACTCAGTCATGTTTGAGCAATATGTTTATTTTGGGGATGGTGTCATTTGGATTTCTTCCTTTCTTTTCTTTTCTTCCTTCCTTCCCTTCTTCCCTCCCCCCTCTTTTTTGTGGCTTTCTGAAGGACAAGGTTAGCTCTGGTCTTTGCTTAGGAAACTGAGACTTGTTTGTCAAGGCTTTCAATCAATACATGTTGAATGAATGAGTGGTCCATTTTCTAGTCTTCTTATCCAAAATCCACAAGTTTATAATAATGTGAACCAAAAAATAAATAAATAAGAAAGAAAGAAAGAAAGAAAGGAAGAAAGAAAGAAAGAAAGAAAGAAAGAAAGAAAGAAAGAAAGAAAGAAAGAAAGAAAGAGAAAAGAAAAGAAAATCGACCAACTTGCTTGAACATCATTACATCACAACTTGCCAAGAAGGCTTCGTATAGCAAACACCAATGTTTCTTGCAGCAGAGAAAGCATGGTGAAAGAGCCAGCAGAATCAGAGGGAACTGCTTTCAAACCATGGTATCAGGAGTTTGCCATGCATTGTGCTAGCAAAGCACTTTTCCCAGCAACCATAAAGAATAACTAACAGCTACTCTTCCACCTCTACATTATGCATAATTTTTTTTATTTGTAAGCCACAACTAATTTCAGGGATGCATCTAGAGATTTTAAGTATACCATGTCTTGTGACACAAATCGTTGAAATTGGTTCACAACTATTATTTACTTCATAAAAATAAAATCATAATTTAAGAAGCTAAAGTCATATACAAATTATGCTGCAGTTTTATCAGTGTAACTCCATTACTTTTTGTTTTATTCCTATCAGCTGTGAGCCTAATTTTATTTGCATTGACTATACAAAGATTAATATCACAGTGAGAATGCGTCATTCTGTGACTTCTCTTTAGCAAGGTCACACTATTGTATTTGTAAGGATGTCTGTCCTTTCACATCTGTCTCAGACTATGTAGACCTGACTATCATATTTAAAGAAGAGCATGATAAAACCTTATATTTAGCAGCAGATGGATCTGCAGATAGGGACGTGAAGTGTTGTATACCTTAAGAAAATTAAATTTCCTTTTCCTCTGTGTGTGTGTGGGTGGGTGTGGGTGTGGGTGTATGTGGGTGTGGGTGTGTGTGAAAACACTTTATTGAAGGACTTTGGGGAAGGTCTGGAGAGATCCACACTGTATGCTGACCTCCTTAGTGTAGACCTTTGAGGTTTCTCTGTCACTAAGAGCTAAATTTGCTTTTCTTAAGACAAAAGGAAGTTTCACATAGACCATTAAAGTACCTGGAAGCTTACATTATGTCATGTTTAGGGATTTCAGTTTCACTTTTAAATACGTTTAATAAATACACTTTAAATTTTCTCCCATTTGTATGCAAACATTCCAAGAACAAATGTGCCTACTTAACTTAAGCAAAGTAAGCTCTTTTGCTTGTACTATAAAAATAAGCATTTAATCAATACTTGGTCCTCTTCCCTTCTGACAAACGAAGGAGAGGTTTAAGTCTTACTAGTATCGAGCCAACAGTTGTTGCTAGCAATGATGTAGAGTACTTGGCCTCCTAGGGAAAAGGCCCTGAAAGACATTTCTCTTCTGCTTATGATTTCAGTTAAGAATGCAAATTGCACACCAGACTTTGAGGAGTACTTTGCCAAAAGAAAACTGGAGGAACGCGATGGCCATGCCGTCAGCATTGAAGAGTACCTTCAGCGAAGCGACACGGCCATTATTTACCCAGAAGCCCCCGAGGAGCTGTCTCGCCTTGGCACGCCAGAGGCCAATGGGCAAGAAGAAAATGGTGAGGCTGTAATTCATTTTTAGCCACTATACTGACCTCTGCAGCTGTTACAATCACAAATGCACTACATGCCTGGGTGTTTACCTTAAAATTTGAAGAACAGCTGCAGAGGCATGGAATTTCATGAGCAAAGATTAGAACTGTAATTTTAGGGTATTGTGAAATTTTTTTTTGTCAGCAAATTTGTGTCATTTGTACATCCAATACAGAATAAGAACAATTACAGCCCATTTCTAAGAGATAAAAATATCTAAATTTATTCCTATCTTTCAGGGATATTTTACTTTTGAAGAAAAAAAAAAGTTTAAGATCACCGACCCTCACCTTTTGTTCTCTGATACCTGAAAATCTCCTTCCCTCCTGTGAATTCCTGTGTAACAGGAGTCTAGGGTTCAGGGGAACTGTCAGTCACCCAAAGGGAATTTCTTCATTTATCAGCTGTTTAAATCCCCCCTCCCCACAAATAAGCTCAAGTAATTAATTAATTTTCGAGCGCAGTGTGAGCTGATTCGGACAAGGCTGCCCTGGGTGTGCAAGGGGCCTGGTTGCGAGGAGGCCGGGCGCAATGATGGCGCTCTGCTGGAGCAGATTGTAGTGATTCCTGTCATAGCAGCCCGGGCAGCCAGCCCATTAGCTGCCATTGATTTACTGACCTTTTGGCCCGCTCCTCTCCCTCTCGCCTCTCGGCTACAGACCTGCCACCTGGAACTCCAGATGCTTTTGCCCAACTGCTGACCTGCCCCTACTGCGACCGTGGCTACAAGCGCTTGACATCGCTGAAGGAGCACATCAAGTACCGCCACGAGAAGAATGAAGAGAACTTTTCCTGCCCTCTTTGTAGCTACACGTTCGCCTACCGCACCCAGCTCGAGCGGCATATGGTGACGCACAAGCCAGGGACAGACCAGGTGGGGGTTGGTTCTAAGTGATTTCTTTCTATAATAACCCCTTAGAGAAACGATATTGCTTTGATTGGCAATCATTATTAATTTTTCATGGCATTTTGAAGATGCAGATCTTTTAATGGTAATAGCTTTAATTGAGGTCTAAATGATTTTTTGATGGTCTCTTCTAATATGATTTAATAGTCTTATGTTCACGATCGAATGAGTGTGTTAATTTCTAATTTAGAAATTTTATTTGCACTTTAACTTGACTTTAGTTTCATTTTTATGTTCCACAAAAAGTGAATGAAATTGTAGCATTTTAATTATACATTATTAAACATCTCAGCAATTTTAATTCCATTTTTCACCTAGTTTTGCTTAGGCTTTTTTTTTTCATATAGGACCTAATGCATAGTAAAAGAAGTATGTATTTCTTTCATTTGCCATGAAACATTTTCAAATTACTTAGAATACTTTTACAAGCTTACTAATTTATGAAATCTAATTATTTTCAGGAAAATAAAAAGGCATATAGGTTATATGCATATATACATCATAAATTGGAAAAATAATAGAACACTCTTTATAATTAAAACAAGTCCATCTCAACATAAGTGCATGTGGTTAAATGCCAAAATTGCTCTGCCTCTTTTGGTTTATTTTGTTTTAAAAATAAGATCTCTGTCTCGGAAAGGTAAGGATAGTGTCTTAAATCCTTGAAATGACTGAGTAGGATTGATTCACAACATCTCTTAAATGTTTCAGCAAAACTGCTCTTTCTGTCCTCCTGGGAGAATTGACTCTGCAAATTGATATTATGATGTGTTGGGTGGTCACAGTAATGGCATTTCATAAGTCACAATAACTGGCCCTACAGATAAAGAATTGTCCTAAATGAACTTTGATATTATATGTTTTTAAAAATGGTTCAATATGACATTCTATATAAAACTCCGATTTGTCCTCATAGGCTTTATTGTCTTTGAATAAGGAAAAGAAGGCACAAACCCAATTAAGCAAGGGTAGAAATACTATACCACGAATTTTTACCATTTAAGGCACTTTATCACATAATCACACCATTTGTTTCTGATTGGACTTGTTACTTGAATGTTTTCCAAAGATCGGCTATAAGTAATATGCTTGTGTAGTTACACTTATGTAACAGTTTATCTTCTCATGCTTCTCTGCACAAAAAAACTCTAGGAAAAAAAATGCCTAGATATTTATCTAGTATAACTGCTTTAAATTTCACATGCAGAAGTGTGATTGTGTTGGCGCATTATGAATGGTAGCTTTGGTGTTGAAAAGTCCCCTCATTTGCTCATGGCATTTACAATTAGTAAATTAAAATGATTGTATCATATTAACAGTGGCACAACTAAAGTTTATAGTAGTCCTCTGAGGGCTGTGGAGGAGACAAAGCAGCTGTTGCTGTTTGTTTATGCAACTCAGCAACATATGAGCGCTGGTCCCTCAATGGCGCTCGGCGGGCTGGGCTCCGCTTGATCTTTGAAGGTTGCTGCTGTTTGAACAAACCTCCCTGTGTCCCATGTAACACCATCTGTCTCACTAGGAATGTGGGAAGATTCAGCACACCCTAGCAGTTGTCATACCGATTCTGTGCTGTCTTTTTGCAAAGGGCTTTTGTGTCATTGCCGCAGAAAAAGGCTGGCCTCCTACCTTGAGCACCCAGAGTGGATGGCTCTTTTTTTTTTTTTTACCTAGAATTCCAAGTCACACTGCTCCCCCCACCCCACCCCCCCTTGTTCAAAAAGGTCAGCTGCGTTTGATTGTATCTGTGTGGCTTCTAACTTGTCTTTTCAGCAAACTTTTTTTTTCTTTCGGTCCTTGTACACTACTAAAAAGGAAAATGAAAAGTCGTTGAAGTCCTTCCTACTGACTTGTGATAAAACTGCTCAAGCAGCTATAACCCAAGATGTTGTCTCTTATTTGATAATGAATCAAGTCTGATAGGCAGCACCTAAGAAGAACAGGGTTAAAATGGGCCAGTAGCACCATGAGCAGAATATTTAAACAGGCATACCAAATATTTATAGTCAAAGGTTTTTGTTTTTTTTTAAATTTGGGGGGACTTTTTTTTGACACTTCTTTAAATTTCAGTTTGATTTAGTGTAAGATATGTTTTTACTCGGACAGAAAACTTGGTGAAAAATTTGTTTTAAGTGTGGGTTAAATTTTTTTTTAAATAATTTCCAGGAAATTATTTTTTCCTCAACAAGATAGCAGTATTCTAGAAGGAAACCTTTAGATTTTAGATTCTGCACTAAACACAAAGAGCCATCAACATCTCTACAATTATACTTTCTCATCTCAAGGGTCAAAGAAATGTTTTAGGAAAGAGATGACAGGCATAATTGTGAAGCAGGCATCCGATGGGCATGGGAAGACTTTTTAAAAAGTTCCCATTTTATGACCAGCATTATCACTTTTATTGCAACTCTGAAAGACAGAGCAGATAAATAAGCGTGTGCTCAGACCTCTCGCCCTGTCTGAAAAAGAGGCCTTGAAAAGATTCCTAACCAATCTCCTTTGTGCCTCCTGAACAAAAATGATGGCCGTCTTTCTCCTTTCACAGCACCAAATGCTAACCCAAGGAGCAGGTAACCGCAAGTTCAAATGCACAGAGTGTGGCAAGGCCTTCAAGTACAAGCACCATCTGAAAGAGCACCTACGAATTCACAGTGGTGAGTAGCAGGGGTGCTTGCACTCATGTCTGCATCATTTCCAGCTAGAGAAGGGTCTGAAGACTATTTAAATCTATACAGTCCTGGGCGTAGCTTTTTGAACTTACCCATTTCTTTCAAAAGTGCTGTGTGCCTATGGTACCACTGTAAATGTTTATCCTTCTTACCAAGGCACAGGGGCTTTGATTTTTTATTTTATTATTTATTTTATTTTATTTTGGCCAAATCTGGAGATTTTGCCAAACTGTGTATCTTTGACCTGGATGTATTTGGCTGCAATTTCATATTTGATACCTAAACTTATACAACAAAAAGTAGGAGAAAAATGGGACAAGAGCTTGTATATGCCAAATGTTCCTTGACTCCTGAGAGCTGTACATCATAAACCCACATCCCACCACTGAGATTTCTGCTTCATATGTAGTTTGGTAGCTCTGCCAAGCATTTTATTACCAAATTGGATGCTATTCAAGGAACTAGTTGAATTGGTAGAATCAATGGAACCTCCACAGAGTTGATTAAAGCCATGGCTCCACTTCCCTTTAAACACTGTGATGTCTTTATTGTGCTATTGACCACACATTAATCTGACACTCTGTGTAAATAGGAGGCTGCTGATGGCCTGACAAGATTTGGGATCCTAGCTGAAAAAGGCGGAGATAGTCTTCACCTTCCACTGCTTACATCTTGAGTTATGTCCACCCAGGGTAGATAAAGCCCAGATATAGTATGATCACATAACTCTGACGTAGGCATCTAGAATGTAGGGTCCACCCCCCTCCTGGATTTATTTCATTTGGTTCCACATATTCTTGTCTTGGCAGACATCACTTGTTACCTAAGCAAAGAAATCTAATGCTAATTTCAACTATCATTTTAGGTGAAAAACCTTATGAATGCCCAAACTGCAAGAAACGCTTCTCCCATTCTGGTTCCTACAGTTCACACATCAGCAGCAAGAAATGTATTGGTTTAATCTCAGTAAATGGCCGAATGAGAAACAATATCAAGACGGGTTCTTCCCCTAATTCTGTTTCTTCTTCTCCTACTAACTCAGCCATTACTCAATTAAGGAACAAGTTGGAAAATGGAAAACCACTTAGCATGTCTGAACAGACAGGCTTACTTAAGATTAAAACGGAACCACTAGACTTCAATGACTACAAAGTTCTTATGGCCACACACGGGTTTAGTGGCACTAGTCCCTTTATGAATGGCGGCCTTGGAGCCACCAGCCCTTTAGGTGTGCATCCATCTGCTCAGAGTCCAATGCAGCACTTAGGTGTAGGGATGGAAGCCCCTTTACTTGGATTTCCCACTATGAATAGTAATTTGAGTGAGGTACAAAAGGTTCTACAGATTGTGGACAATACGGTTTCTAGGCAAAAGATGGACTGCAAGACTGAAGAAATTTCCAAGTTGAAAGGTTATCATCTGAAGGATCCATGTTCTCAGCCAGAGGAACAAGGAGTTACTTCTCCCAATATTCCACCTGTCGGTCTTCCAGTAGTGAGTCATAATGGTGCCACTAAAAGTATCATTGACTATACCTTAGAAAAAGTTAATGAAGCCAAAGCTTGCCTGCAGAGCTTGACTACTGACTCAAGAAGACAGATCAGTAATATAAAGAAGGAGAAGCTGCGTACTTTGATAGATTTGGTCACTGATGATAAAATGATTGAGAATCACAGCATATCCACTCCATTTTCATGTCAGTTCTGTAAAGAAAGCTTCCCAGGCCCTATACCCCTGCATCAGCATGAACGCTACCTGTGTAAAATGAATGAAGAGATCAAGGCAGTCCTGCAACCTCATGAAAACATAGTCCCCAGCAAAGCCGGAGTTTTTGTTGATAATAAAGCCCTCCTCTTGTCATCTGTACTTTCTGAGAAAGGACTGACAAGCCCCATCAACCCATACAAGGACCACATGTCTGTACTCAAAGCATACTATGCTATGAACATGGAGCCCAACTCTGATGAACTGCTGAAAATCTCCATTGCTGTGGGCCTTCCTCAGGAATTTGTGAAGGAATGGTTTGAGCAAAGAAAAGTCTACCAGTATTCAAATTCCAGGTCGCCATCACTGGAAAGGACCTCCAAGCCGCTAGCTCCCAACAGTAACCCCCCCACAAAGGACTCTTTATTACCCAGGTCTCCTGTAAAACCTATGGACTCTATAACGTCACCATCTATAGCAGAACTCCACAACAGTGTTACGAATTGTGATCCTCCTCTCAGGCTAACAAAACCTTCCCATTTTACCAATATTAAAGCAGTTGATAAATTGGACCACTCAAGGAGTAATACTCCTTCTCCTTTAAATCTTTCCTCCACATCTTCTAAAAACTCCCACAGTAGCTCATACACTCCAAATAGCTTCTCTTCCGAGGAGCTGCAGGCTGAGCCTTTGGACCTGTCATTACCAAAACAAATGAGAGAACCCAAAAGTATTATAGCCACAAAGAACAAAACGAAAGCTACTAGCATAAATTTAGACCATAACAGTGTTTCTTCATCATCTGAAAACTCAGATGAACCTCTGAATTTGACTTTTATCAAGAAGGAGTTTTCAAATTCTAATAATCTGGACAGCAAAAGCACTAACCCTGTGTTCAGCATGAACCCATTTAGTGCCAAGCCTTTATACACACCTCTTCCACCACAAAGCGCTTTCCCCCCGGCCACTTTCATGCCGCCAGTCCAGACCAGCATCCCTGGGCTACGACCATACCCAGGGCTGGATCAGATGAGCTTCCTACCACATATGGCCTATACCTACCCAACGGGAGCAGCTACCTTTGCTGATATGCAGCAAAGGAGGAAATACCAGCGGAAACAAGGATTTCAGGTAATGAGATATGTCTTTTTTCCTCTAAAGAAAAGTGATAAAAAGTGTGGTCTAACGCGTATAATACCCAAGCTGTGATTCCCAACCTGCCCAGTACAAACAAAAATTGCCTAGACGATGTACAAAGTGTGGGGGGGAAACACTCAGTGAAAGAAAAATTCAGAAATAGGAAAAGTCTTTTTAACATGAACCTTTAACTCCGAGTGAGCTTCCAAAGTCAATGGCTAAAGAGATAAACTTTTTAGGAAGCTGAGGCAAGAAGATTGCTAGTTCAAGGCTAGGTAGCAGAACAGGGTTCTGTCTCCAAAACAAAACAAAACAAATGAAGAATTCTTTCAAGAATTATATGTCAATGCCAATAGTCGGTAGGCTTACCCAGATGCTTGAAATTAAAGTGTGTAACAGCCACATGCTTTGAAGGATGTATATATAGAACTTGAAGGAATGACATATTTAAATTTTAATATGTATTTTGTTTTATACAGAATAGTTCATCTTAAAGGGTATTTTTAAAAAATATTTTACATGTTACACAGGACTTCTTTCCTAATTTTCAAATTATCAAATAATTGATAGGTGGTTGAATGGGAAAACAAGCATTGTTTTAGCATTATTTTATATAATCCCTGTTTGCAAAATAGGAGTCGAAGTGGTAGTGCATGGCTGTAACAGCTGTCCAGTAGTCCAATTTACCACACATCTGCCCTCTTTGTAAATGCATTTAAGTCTATTTAATCTTCTCTAGTATTAATTAGTGCAAATATAGTCTAAGAAAACTAAACTGTGGGCTAGCAAATGGAAATGTATGTTATCATGCAAGTTTGCACTCCTTTGGACCAAGACAAAATAAATATCAAGAAATTTAATAATTTACTGATCCACATTCATTATTGCTCAATGCTGAAGGCTGTTTTATCATAGATAGAACATTGATAAAAAGTGTTATTAATATTCCCTATTTCAAATTAGAAAATTAAATATAAAAATATAGCTTAGGGCTTTTAGTTGGTAGACATACATTTAAATAGATTGTATAATAATAATATTTTGTACCTAAATATAAAATTCAATTAAAATGAGGTTTCTACAGCTACCAATCATTTCTGAAGTAAAGTACACTGGAAAATATAGCAATTCTGATATTTAATGTTCACTTGTGGATATTCCTGGTGTTTAAGAAAATGGAAGATTTAAGAAAACTTCATTTTTTCCCATTTATGTCAGAGAAGGTTTATGTTTTTGTTGAAATGTGAGACTTCACATATTGTTCAGAAAAAAAATTAAAATTAGTCATAAGATAGATTGACAGCTAACATTTTGGAGGATCTTCTGAAGTCAACCTATGCGTAGTTGTTTGGTGTAAACACAAAGAGAAGAGACTATGTTGAACTGTGTGATTATGTCACAGGGAGAATTGCTTGATGGAGCACAAGACTACATGTCAGGCCTAGATGACATGACAGACTCCGACTCCTGTCTGTCTCGAAAGAAGATAAAGAAGACAGAAAGTGGCATGTATGCATGTGACTTATGTGACAAGACATTCCAGAAAAGCAGTTCCCTTCTGCGACATAAATACGAACACACAGGTATGAGCGACTTTGACTAGCTAGCTAGAGCTCTCCGGCCTGCTGTACATTTCATAATATTTAATGAGTACACTTGTGCAACATAAGATGTAGCATATGCTAATACCTTCAACAAGAAAGAAGTAATGCTTTTGCATAACTCAGTAGGACTTTCGTGTTGCCTGTTTATTGGATCATTCATGTGTTTATGAGTGTGCTTGTCTTCCTAACTTTCAAGTTATATGTAAAACAAATTTACATATCATGTCAAAGAAATATTTAAATGCCCAGGGTAATGAAATGGCATGACAAGAGCTAATTACTGAAAGTATCTTCAAATACTTAAGCTATGATGAATTTATATATGTGTAAAAATCTTATAATAAATCTGGTCAGTGATATATTAGTATAATCATCCAAACATCAAGTAAGCCGTGGTTTGGGGTGACTTTGTTTGGTTTCCATAAATTGGCCACTTTTGAATCAATTATATGTTATTTCCTTAAGAGAAAAAGCAAGAGACCAAATAAGCTACTGAATCTACTGTAATTGAAACACTAAAATAATATTTCCCATTCATGTGTCATTAATCAGCAAGTTACAAAGTCAAGTGTTCCCTATGACTAAAGAGGTGGTTCATCACTTTTTCTTAAAAGTGCCGTTATGTAAAAAAAATTTTTCCACACTCCAAAATCAGATCTGCAGCTCTGTGGCAGGGTTCCATCAATGTTCCCTCTTCCCTCCCCATCTTCCTAACATGGGAACCTAACCTCATCCTGTCCTTAACCCATTCCCAAGTCTTTTCCACTAGAACTATGGCAAGCTGTATTAGCCCTGGGTGGGGAAAAAAGTATAGAGTCTTATTCAAAATGTTGGAAAAGGGAGAAGGAGGAAGAAAGTGTAGGAAAACCTCTTACTTTAAACAAGGGCAAAAAATAGCATTAATTCACATGGGGGAAGTAGTGATGGAGCAAAAGGAAGAAAGTGATGCTATAGTTTAACTGCTTGCAGATATGGTACACATTCTGGTACTGAAGGCTACCTTGGGAAACACAAGTCCTTTGAATCTTCCCATATTTCTCATTAGCCATGTGTTGGAGGTAACACATGTGACCAGAATCAAGCTGAGCATTGGGGGAAAGTTGGCATGTGCTGGTGGACCACTAGTGCTGAGGGCACTTTGTGAGGAGAACCAAGGTTTTAACAGCCATGCTCCTCATCCAACCAGTTCAGCAACTTTTTCTCCAACCATGATCTCTGTGGCTATTATTTTAAAAGGTCAATTAATGATACTTTCAAAATGCCCCAAATTGATTAGCAAATATACACAGATTTTATACTTAAGCAATGTAGTTGAAACATCAAAATTTGCCTACACTGTTCATTTATTATATTTTCTTTAATACTGAGTCTTATTTAAGTATTTACAGAGTAAAAAAATATTTTCATGCCTAAATTTACTTTAATTTTAATCAACCTCAAATATATTTTGTATTTCATTATTCAGCTACAATAGGCACATCCCTGAAGGCATCTTTCCCTCTCTGATTGGTCTTATTATATGACCATATGCAAACTCTATCATTTACTAAATGGTGAGTGGAAAACTTTTATTTTAGTGAGGGCTCTCATACATATTGACATCTAGTCAATATATTTATCTCCTATAAATATGCTAGTCCATAAACTTCATAGGTGTTCAGCTAGTTGAGAGACCCAAAAGTTGACAAACACAAATGTGTATATGTTTAATTTTTTTAAAAAGCACATTATTTTAAAAGTAAAATATTCTGGTCTTTTAAGATGAGAGATCTGCTGCCTAGAAACATTGCCTAGCAACAGGATGCTAATCATCCAAAGGTTTCTCTAAACTGGTGACCAATTATCCTCCTGTTGGCGTCCTAGCTTGTCAAGTTTCCAGTATGTTAACTTTTTGGTCTCTTGACCAAACATCTCACAACATTATTGCTGTCATTGTATTAGGTTCCATCCAAGCAAAATTCTTCATGAAATTTGTCAGTATGATGTATGTGTGAATTTAGCTTACTTTCTTCTGATTGGGCCCCATAAGCCTTTTATTTGTTTATATTAATATCTAGTAATATTTTTAAATGAATTAATATGAATATTATAAGAGAGAACTGTCTTGACTCTAAGGCTGGGCAATGAAGTTGAATTGTGATTTGAATATTACATGTTGATTATAAATGTGTCATTGATAAAGTATGTTTGTTATCTGTCTATAGAATTGTTTAAATGAAGAAGAAAATTAGTGACTATTTATTCTTGGGATTCTGTGTTCTTCTTTCTCAATCTACTTTAAATTTATTTCCTAGGCAGATACCAAAGTCATACTGCTTAATTCTCTTACCAATGGCTTATTGCTTGCTTGTTTGCTTGGTTTTCTTTCTTTCTTTATTTATTTATTTTGGTGGGCGGGGATACCCTGGATAGTACAGAGAAGGAAATACTATGTAAATGTTATCTTCAATTGGAATAATTGTCACAAACAATGACTGAAATAAAAGATCTGAACCTTCTGGTAGGCACTGTCAAGGACTCATTTGTACTACACTAAAATTTTAGTCTGACATTTATTGAGTGTTTTCTCTGTTGAGACATTGTGGTGGGTACTTTCAAATCACCTTATTAATATGAGAAATAAAAATATTTCTAGTTTTGAGTAGACAGAGTCTACATTTTAAATAATTTTAATTTAAGTAATTTAAATAATCTGGCCAATTTTGTTCCTAAGTTATATGGTGATTTTTTTTTATGCCACAAACCTTCTATTTGTTACCAACTTTAGTCTTCATTGTAGCTGTCAGATGAGTCATGAACGTAAATAATAGTGAAAAAATGCCCCCAAATGTTTTGGTTCATTTAATAACAATTTGAGTGTTTTTCTGAATCTTGTTCCTACAGAAATTTGATTCTAGAACATTTTGATTTAAGTCAGGTAAACTAATCAAACGAATTAAAATGAAATAAATTCCCAAGTTAACTCCTATTTTAAATTGACATTATTAAATACTTGTTAGTGGATGTTCTCAAGATTAGTAGAATATTTAGTGCAAGGTAAGTGTCAACACTCTCAGTCATATCCTGCCTTTGTCCTTCACATGGCATCACAGTTGAGCACTTTATCCTTGCAGGTTGGCAGTTTATGATAAGGAATTAATGCAATCCTGTTACGAGCCTAGTGTCTATTGTCAAATGAATTCTTTGAAAGGTGGCTGCCTGTTATCACAGAATCCATCTCCCATGCATTTCTAAAAGGTCTGGAAATTGTGTATTGGATGATGGTTGCTTTCAGTCCAGATGTTGCTCTGGTTTTACTATTTTAGAAAATAAAAAGCCTTACTGTCTTAAAGATCATTCAAAATGTTTCATATATTGTCTCCATGAAGTGGCCTAACTGGTTGACCACCTTTGATCCTGAGCTGATGAGACATTAGTATCAAAAAGACACCATGGGACAGTTTTGCTCATGCATGCTTTAACAACTAAAGCAACAAGAAAAATTTCATGTGTAGTTTATCACCACTTGGATTTATTTCTTGCATGTACTTTGCTC